CCAGCGAAACGAGAAGTTATGAAAGGCGGCAGGGAAGCTGCATCCACGTTGGCGAACGTCACGCGGTGGCCGAACGCGTGGCTGCTCTCCAGCCTGCCGAGGACGACATCGTCAATCTGCATAATTACTATCCCCTGGCCGGCGGTATTCACGCCAGCGATGAAGCTGCCGTAGCGGCTCTGGGCGCCGGCAAAGAGGCGGTCCTCATTCGTTTCTGTGGGGCCGGCCGTAAACGTCACATGAAACGTGACGCTCCTTGAATCCCTACGTGTTGCAAAGGGGCGTCAAATGGGGAGCGTTACACGATATTCAAGGTGCACGCGAGCGGCGATGAACGTGACGGAAGACATCTGTGCTTAACAGGCAGCGGCCAAATATGCGCGCCGGAGCTGATAGATGCGTCTATTTCGCACGGTGAGAGGCGGAGCATAAGTACCTTACTGGTGTGAACACGCTCTTTGCATGTAGCAGCTCGCTTACGTGGTGACGGCGGGAGGGCCGACCGTCGACGTGCTGCTCTGGGACGCAGCCGTGTCCAGCCTCTGACGCTTGGCGTCTGGTGGGTCGATACTACTGCGGGAGTTGGTCGAAGGTGTAGAAAGTCAGGAGATGGGATCGGATAAGGTTCGCATAACGCATAACGCAAAACACGGGACGCAGCAACGGAGAATAACGCATATGTGACGGGTGTCGCATATGTTCGCATAACGCATAACGCATAACGCAAAACACGGGACGCAGCAACGCAAAGGATGCGAACAGCGTATTTACGCACTAGAGCAACGCAAACCGACCTGCTGGTCACCAGGGTGCGACATCGCAGATTGTAGGACGATGTAGGCTCTAGGCGTTGTCGCTTGGGGTCCGGCGAATCCATCCGGCTGCGAGCGTATGTCTGAAAACAGGTATGTCTGAAAACGGTGGAGGCACTTGGAGTAAGCAGGCTTGCAAAGAGGTAAGTGCAGGATAAGTGGGGAGGAATCGGCGCGCTAACAATTATACATCCGCGGCAGCGTGTCGTATAGATGACAGATGTCCGAGGATCGGCAGACGCGGACATTGGACGCGCACGCGCCGCGGCTGCGAGCCAGGTCGCGTGATTGCGGTGGCCTTGAACGACTCCGAAACAGGAGTAGAGTCATACAGCGAAGACAGGCGTGGTCAGGCGATAACGCGGATTGGTGCTAATTCGCGTGATTGTGGCCGCGTCTAGCGAAACCGAAGCTCAACGTCGGACGCAGAACGTCGGTAACTCGCGCGATTGCGGTGACCTTTAACGACTCCGAAACAGGAGTAGAGTTATACAGCAAAGACAGACGTGCTTAGGTGATGATGCGGATTGCTGCCAATTCGCGTGATTGCGGCCGGGTCCAGTGAAACCGAAGCAGAAACGGAAGCCGGTAAAGACGCGGATAGCTGAGATTTCGCGGTAATAAAAGGATGTATACGCACGAGGTCGCCGCAGCGAATATGTAACGGGTGCGGTGCGGTGCGGTGTGTGTGCGGTGTGGGCGCGGTGCGGCGCGGTGCAGACTAGACGGTGCGGAGCGGTCCCGAACGAAAAATAGAAGAAAAAAACGTGCGGGCGCCGGGCGAGGAAGCCAGCGAGCCGCAACGTAAACGTAAAAAAAAGGACACATTGACGCGCCGTCGCCGGGGTCGAACCGGCGACCGCGGCTTCCACTAGACATCGGAGCTAGCGTGCCCGACGAAGCGGCGCACGGCCATGCTCCGGGGCGCCTTCCGCGGGGGCAGGTGTGGTGCGGCGCGGCGCGGGGCGCCAAACCGAACGAAGGAAGAAGACGAAAAAAGCGGCGACGGCGGGACGCGAACCGGCGACCGCGGCTCCCACGCGGCGACGGAGCTAGCCTAAAAGGCGCGGCTCCGAAACCGCGGACGACACCCCGAAAAACGCGAAAACAGCAAGCGGCCACCCGGACGGACGGACGGTCAGACGGACAGACAGAAAGTTGGGGTAAGGTCTCCGTCCCGACGACGGAACGACTAAACGTCGTCCGTCTAACGTCGGGACTACGACTATAGGCCTCCGCTCATAACATATGAGCTACGGCGATGGACAGACGGACGGACGGACAGCAAATCGGCCTAAGGCCTCCGCTTCCTACTCGTAGGAGCTACGGCGACGGACGGACAGCGAACTCCGGATAGGGCTCCGCTCATAACATATGAGCTACGGCAATAGTCCTCCGCTCATAACATATGAGCTACGGCAACGGACAGCGGACGGACGGACAGCGAACTCGGGATAGGCCTCCGCTCATAACATATGAGCTACGGCTACTAGACGCGGGCTGCTTCGCCCGCGAGGGGGCCGTAGTCCCCCGGCTGGGCGGCACGAGTACGACGGTCCGTGCGTGTAGTACTACACCCGTGTGGGAGTCGAACCCACAAGTGCAAGGGATGCACCCAGCCGTGCAGGCGTGTCGTCGGACGGCTAGAGAGCCGTGCAACGCTGGCATTTAACGCCATCCAGTGGCGAGGCAGACAGACGAAGTGTTGGACGTGTCAGGTGGTGTTGGCTGCGGAGGTCCAACGCTCCTCAAGGTTTCTGGCGTGTTTGTACTCGGTGGTATAGCGTTCACGGGTTTCGGTTGCACGGCGATCCAGGAGGCGGAGTTCGGCCGCCAGGTCGGGGTCCAGCTTGGTTGCTGCCATGAACTGTTTGACGACTCGTGCTCGTTCGTCGGGTGTGGTAGAGAGCGGGCGCAGGAGGCGGATGTGGTCGAGTGTTTTGTAGCGGGTGAGCAACACGTACATGGTTGCACGCTTGAGGCCACCGGGCGGGACGCAAAGGTCCGTGACCCAGCATTCTTCCTTGAAGCTACGGCCCTGTACGAAGTAGTCGGTGACGGCGTAGTAGTCACCAAGCGGTACATTGACTCGACGTACATTTTTGGTGGCGGTGCCGGTGTTGGCGGCTGGCACGGTGATGTTTGCTGCCGGCCACTCGGGGAAAGACTTGGTCATGGATGTGGTCATGCGGGGGGTTTCCTGTCATAGATCTGGTCATGTTGCCTCATGACCACTCATGAGGCCTCATGACCGGTCATGTTACCGGTCATGAGGCAGAGTCATGGTCATGACAGTTGTCATGCTCCTTGCGAAGCATGACGGATCATGAATTGCCACTCATATATGTAAATTCAGTCATGTTCCCAATGGTCATATGCTGGCTATGTGTTCATGTTT